GCTCTCAGGACTTTCCTTGTCATCCCAGGAAGGCTTCAACTTTGACCTCATTCCCCACTCCACCACTGTACCTTACAAACAGGATAACAATGGGCCTGGAAGTCCTGATAGCACATGCAGTGTGGGAAAAGGGTTGTGGTTTTTCTCAGAAGTACAACAAGCAATTTAACTGAATCCAGGAGTAGTTAAGTGAGAATAGCACTTCTTACACTGAACAGCAGAATGTTAAATGACTTTTGAAATAAAATCACATCTGCTAAGCAGACTATTAATCCACTATTTCCCCTGGCAGTAGTTGCATATTTTTCTTCCGTCCCCTGATGACAAAAGGCACAAAGAACAAAAAAATTATTCAAGTTTAATAAACTTTGACTCATCCCACTCATCTGAAATCTTCTGTTTCTGGCAGACATGATGCTGTTGGTTTTAGTGCATCCATGTGAGATGTAAGTGTGGTTAAATGTGGGAAAAATGGTTCGCCGCCCACCTTTGACTGCTTATCCGAGGCAAAAATGATAAATACCTGTGAATACCGCAGTGATGGTTGATGCAGTGAATGACAATAAATCCCTCTTATTTTTGCCTTTGAAAGCCAGATATGAAGAGATGTCTGACATTTCTTTACTCTTTGTAAAGACTCCCATGACTGTCAGCCAGCGGAGTGACATAATGCAAGGTTTATTTCTCGATCCTTCTGAAAGCAAAAAGACCGTTCACAAGTTTCGTGTTGAATGCTTGGCAAAAAAAAAAAAAGAAAAAAAAGAGAAACATGAAAGGATTTACTGTTTTCTGCACTTAGTGCGGCATTATAATTTTAAGCCGCTTTAGCTCTGTGTAAGCATATCTTCTCTAGAGCAGTCAAGAGGACTCAAACGCATGAGATTCAAAGTCTGTTTCCTCTTCACTTGGCGAATTTGAGGTCTACAGTTGTTTTTGTGGGCGTTTCTTGTGATTTGATACATTGCTTTTTTAAAAATTACATATATCAGCACTAACATTGGCATGGGATGACATTAGTGATTTCTTTTTACCGTATCAGTCCGATAAATACAATTTTTTGATTAATATATTATTAATCGATATTAATTTCCATGTTGTTGCTGTTTGTTTCTGAAGGATAATGGGAGGAAGTTGGTCATGTGACAGCGATAGTGAGGCAGCGCAGGACTCTGGGGAATTTACCTGAAGCAGAAAAGCAGTAGTGAAGCCGTGTTTTTATTTTTCAAGATGCAAGAGTAGTAAAATATGACATTGGTAAATGTCATCTATTAGAAATAACATTCATATTGGTGTCGACCCACATTTTCTCATGGATACACGCTTTAATTCCAGTATTTCCTACAATTGCTCCTTCCTCATCATCTTAGTGTAATGCTAGAACTTCTGTTTAACATCATAAAGTAAACGGTTAAACTACAACCAGCCTATATGTACAATTTGGAGGAGTATGTGGCTTTCCCCCAGCTGGGAATATATTGATTTCTATGCATTATCATGGAAAATTGTGGACTGTGTTCATTCTGGCTGCGTAGTAAACTCTTTTTGCTTGCAACTGGAACAATGTTGGGTCTTAATGTGCATAGTCGCCAGTCCAATGTGGCCGTAAAGAGCATGTATACTTAGGCTGAGGCCAGTGTTGGACGTCATGGTTTCAAATCTCTAACTATCTATTTTGTTGTTCATGTGCCGCATGTCCTGGATAAGGTAACGCAGACACCTACACGCTCCTGATATGCAGCTGTCAGGATAAGCCGCCACAATACCACCATAGCAGCTTTGTGCAAGCTCCAGACTTTCTAACAAGTCTTCACTTGTTAGATGGGAAACACACTGCTTTCTTGAAGAACTCCATGAAAACCTGCCAAGATCACCTGCATTCTGGCTGATTTTTCACATTGTGTTCAGTCTTAATCCAAAGGCAAAAGGGGCCCAACAGATGGTGCCAGAAATGCCCAAAATAGACGAGAGCTGAGCGATTGAGGGGCGTTCAAGGACTGATGTGAGGCAACATGAATGTAGGTTGAACCTGTCATCAAACCCCATGCAGGATTATGATAGAATCAGGTGATTATTTCCTTTTATCCTAATCTGCATGAAAAATAATACCCAAATAATCAAAATAAAACCCAGGCTTAAAATGATAGATTAAAGAGTTCATTTGGTTGGATCTGGTACCAGATTGTTAAAAGCTTCACTAACTCTACATATTAGTCTGTGTGTGTTCCCTAGAGAGTGTAGTCTCTGATCCTAATTTTGGGATTTTCCAATAGATTCCCTCAGACTTGTGATTTTATCAAGATATGTATTGTTACTGTTGTGGTAGAATAAAAGTATAAAAACTATTTATTACCTCTTTGCAGTCTTTTTTTTTTCTTCTTCAGGTGACAATATGGCTTGGATTGCATGTCAGAGAAATTGGACAGTCCCACAAAGAGAAATAGTGCTTTTATAAACATGCCCATTTTTAATAGGCATAGGTCAGTTGTATAATTAAGTGTGATTTTTATCACTAAATTGCACATAGTTGCTGCACTAGTTTTATTTTGAGAGATCGCGAACACTAGACTGTTTTTGCAAACCTGAGAATAATTACTCAGCATTTTTTACGTCACTCTTTACATCAAAGTTTATTTAGTGTTAATAACAATGGTTATTTATTTGAAGGCTTTCAAAAGCACCTGTTTAGCTAGATATATTAAATTAAAAGCCTTTGCCCCATTAAAATAAGCCATTGCTAAAGTCCTCTAGAATCAGGTACGAATTGACGTTTTGTATTCTTGAAAACTTGAAACTCCCTGTTGTTACAACAAGTGTCTATCTTACCTTTTATGGATAAATAGCAGAAAGTTTCAGGAACCACGTCAACACTGACGATTATTGTTGTGGTTAGTTATGGTGCATTCACTGATCATCTGAAGGAATCCGGGTGGTGGGAGGTCAAAGTTTGACCTAAACCGGGTTGACGGTTCAAATACCCACTCTGTCCATCTCAGTCGTTGTCCTTGGCAAGACACTTCACCCGCCTTCCCCGTTGGTCAGGAGGCCCAGTGGCGCTGATTGTATCAAGTCTCTCTTCTGTCAGTCTGACCCAGGGCAGCTGTGGCTACAATGTAGCTCACCACCATTAACGTGTGAATGACTGAATGTAGTGTGAAGCACTTTGGGATTCTCTGCACAACTCAACTAAAAAATAAAGAAATAAAAGAAAGAAAGTAATTCTCACATAAAAAAATTACAAAATGGGGTTGATCTAGTTTCTATCGGAGCCGGATTGTAAACTTCAATGTTCTCAGTTTATTTTTTTATCGACGTTTGGCTGTTCGGTTTTGACGCTATAACATCATCCGATTTATCGAGTTTTTTTAAATCAGTATATCATATATAATGGGTTCAAAAACGTCAAATTTGCCTTTTTGATTATCATGAATGTATATTCTTGCATCCAAAAATGCACAGAGAAAGTAATTTTTTCTGGTGTATTTACATTTGCTCAGAATATTTAGAGAGATTTTTTTATTACTTTGTTTACAAACTTTCTGGAAGGCCCAGAAGTCACATTATTTGAGTTAAATGGAGGCAGACTTCTGAATGTGTTTAAGGTAACTCCTCAAAAAAAAAAAAAAAACACTTTGAGGCATTACCTCAAAAAATAGGTCCTTGTACTACAATGATCATTTTCCACGATGTCCTTGCATGACATCATGGAAAATGGATACAAATTCCAGATGCCTTTAGTTTCCACATTCATCTGTTGAAACGGGGATATGAAAGTGAAAACACAGTGAGGCTCCTCAGCCACCATACTGTTAAGGCTGAAACAAGTAATCAAATTACTCGTGATTGATAATTGAAATAATCGTCAACCAATTTAAAAATCAATTAATCGTTCAACGGAGTATACAGACTCAGAAAAGGCCATTTGTTGAAAGGACAAAACAATCAGAGCAGTAATTAATTCAAAACTGTGCAGAAACATATATTTTGCATTTTAGATGGAAAAATGCAAAATTTTTCCATCTGTCAATATGTTCTGCCTATAACTCCTCAAACGCAATAGTTTTAGTTTCACCTGGTTTGAAATCTGAAAATATCCCCCTTTGAGTACCTTTTGCTATCCATTTATTAATCCAAAGAATAATCAACGGAGTAATAGTCCGCATTTTAACATCTGCAGATGCATCTTTTGCTACACATGATCAAGCAAAAACAAAAGGAATGCTGTGTTGTTGCATTCAAGGCAATTGCATTTTTATTTTCTTACTCAAAAAAGTAATTGAAATATTTGCTGTTCTGCAGTATTATTATTTTTTTAATTAATGGAAACATTGAAGCTCCATATCAGGCACAAATAGGTGTTTAAAATACACAATGACCCTAATCACACCACCAGATTAATCATGGAATAAATGGGTTCAAACCCCCAGCAAAGTATTGAGAAGCTTGCAAAGCTTATTATTCGTCTCGAATAACTTTCCAGGAATCCTTGATCATCTGAACCTGGGTGTGTGTATGTTTTAGTGAAGGTAAATAATTGGCTTCAACTGTAGGCTTCAAACACACACTGCATCTGCTGTTGTAATCAGGCCCTACATAAAGGTTCCCAGACTTTCTCAGAACAATACTCACCACCTCTGTGTGTGTGTGATGGAGGTAATCTGAATGACGATTTAGTTTGGCTGATGTTTGACTGGGATCCACTTGGTGTGTGTTTGTGTGTGTGTGTGTGAGACTCGTGATGTTTGAAGCTGTCAGCGTTCTTCATCACATGCTCCGTCATATTGCACAGAGGCGACTGGTGAGATGAAGCAGCTGTCGCTGTTTCTGGTCACACCAAGGTCAGCGTGCTTGAAGACATGCATGCAAGAGCAAACATAAACATTCACAACACACACAGAGACACACTTGGAGGAATGCTTTCATTGCTCCTGTGCTGAAAATGCTACTTGTTGGACGCTCCCGACTATCTGACATTAATCTCTCCTTTTATTTCTGTCTTTCAGGTGGAGGAGGGAAGAGGAATGGCCGCAGTAAGAAATGGAAGGAGATGCTTAAACTCCCGCACATCAGCCAATGCGAGGAGCTTCGACGAACTATTGGTATGAGTGGCGAGCGCCCGCGGTGTCGTTGGGTTGTTGGGGTGTGTCTGACTTCGGGGAGAAGTTCATGTTGGACTTCCTTCCTGTTTCTCTTCGTCTCCACCCATGGTTGCAGGCGGGGAGGGGCGGCAGAGGGCAGGAAACTGGGCGTGTGTGAGTGTGAACGTCTAGGGTGGGAGACTATCAATGTCGAGACGACTGCTCACACGTTAAATCAGAACATGCACCCCCCTTCCTACTTTTAACACCACAGGTGAATTCGTGGTCCGGCCGGCCCCATTGGGTTAGATTACAGTGCAACCATCGTGGTGGTTCTGTGGATGCCGCACCGCCCCAGAGCGTGTGTGTAGTTGTGCGTCACTGCTCTCGCTGCCAAAGATTGCAGGGCTACCCTCCCCCACATGCTCTCATGCCCTCCCTCTTCTCTATCTCCATGCGTACCTCCACCACTATCTGCGTCTCTCTCTTTTTCTCTCCTTCAATCTTTTAGCCACTTCAGAGAGGGGCTTAAGATGGATGGAGAGACCATTTGCAGCAGCAGGAGAGATCTTTTGAGGGCAGGATGGATAAGAGCGGGGCCGAGTGAAAGGGATGTAGGTGTATATACACTCCCTTTTGGTGGTATCTTACTCAGCACTGATTGTGCTTCTTGTCAGCTTGTTCACACAACCCTCACAAAATAACTCGCACAACCCCCCCGAATCTGTCGGCTCTCAGACACCTTAAAGGCAGAATATGTTCTCGTTTCCATTAGAACTAGAACTTTGCAATCCAGATTTGGGTTGGAGGTGTGGGCGCGCGCTCCCCAGCTGGAGGAGTTTACATATGTCAGCATTTCATACATGGTGTTGTGTAATTTCCCTATCGCGTGGAGCACGAGATCAAAATATTCCCCCTTGTGTAATCTAGCTGGCAGACGTGTAGCAATGTGCAAGGATACAGTAAAGCAACTGATAGCAGTGTCTTTGTTGTGTCTCGATAATGCCAGGCATTTGACCTTAACCTTGACAAGCGGCTGGTAGTTTTGGTAAATCCAGAATCCACTCTACGTGCTGCTGCCTCTTTGTCTGCCAGCCTCAGACCTCTGTGCTTCGTCATCTCCATCCATCCAGCTTTTATTTTTCCGCCGTTCAGTTTTATACAGTATACATATTTGTGCTGCCAACCAATCAAAATGCCAACAATTGTTCTTCCAAACGTAGTGTCCCAGCGCTCACTGACGCTGGGGAAACTGACTCCGCTGAACATGTATCCAGGTCGTAGTGAAGGTGTTCAGGGCCCACCTGACAGATAAGATAAATGTTATTCTATAGTTCCTGGTGTTCCCCTCTCTTTACTGCTTTCCCAGGCAGCTGCCCATATGGGCCATATGAAAAGCCAGACCTGAGCACACATAGGCCTGTCACAATGAACAATAAATCAATTAATCGCATAATAAATTAAAACTGAGAGCTCAATAATTTCCTTTTGCAAGATTTATTGTTTTTCTCTCTTCTCGCTCTCCTTCTACCAAAACTTCAGTCTGGTATATTTGGCCTGGACTAGCTCCTTTCTTTTTTCTTTTTCTAAAGAATTTTTTGTGCTCAGAAACTTCATAATTAATTTTCATTTGTTGTCTCCGTTGTTTTGTTTACGCATTTATTTTGGATATTTTAAATGTATTCCAGTTCCACTGTTAAATATTCAATACAACTGAGAGTTTATTGATCTTTGAGATGACTCACTTGCATTATTGTGCCATTACCATTGTAGTATTCGAAAATGGTCTCAAAAAGAACTATATTACTGTTGATCTCAATAACTTCTGGGACATTTTATCGTTCAGCAGTATTTTCTTTATTGTGACAAGCCCACATCCTTCTTCTAATTTACATTCCTGGTGTCTCATGTAATGTTGAGAAACCAGTTTTAGAAGTTTCTTTTTCGCACAGCAGTTCAGAGACGTCGTCGTTGCTTGGCTCAATATGGTGCTTTGCACAGTGTTCACAGGCTTTGATCTTTTTCCACATTCTGTAACGTTGCACCCGCACGCCTTAATTTGACCGTGATCTTATTTGATGCACCAACACAAAACGTAGTGCCTTTTTGTGACAAAGTGCAGCGTGCTTTTGGTGTAAGTCTGTTAGCTTTGCACATCTTGGATTTCCGGTGTTCTCCTTTACAGAATAGTCCAGTTATCTTCAATTCACATTTTTTTAAAGTCTTACAACAGATTGTCAATTGATCTCAGCTTTTACTCGTCAATTTTAGCATGCCAATTGGCATTGATCTGACGTATTCCACTGGCTTTCGGTTTAGGCTTGTCCTGGCTGGTTTTAGGGTTGGTAATGGCCACTCTCCATTCTTTAATAACAGACTTTGTAAGTAGTAGCTGTTGAGAAGTTTTCCTGCCTGAGCTGTGGGTTTCTGCTGCTCCTCCAGAGTCACTATGGGCCTTTTCGCTGCTTCTCTGATAATACCGACCTTGTCTCATGCAGCTTAAGGGGACAGCCATATCTTTGCTTCTCAGCTGTCCCATACTCTCCTTTTCCAGGTGATGGATAGAGCAATGCTCAGTGAGACGTTCAAGGCTTCGGATATATAGCTTTAAAACCCAGTCCTGCTTTAACTGTAAATCCCTGACCTGTCTGATGTTCTCCTTGGCCACCATGATGCCGTTTGTTCATCAATGTTATCTAACAAAACATGAAGGCCGTCAGAGAACAGCTGGAGCTTTACTGAGAAAAAATACACAGTAATTTCAAAATTGATGACATTGGATCTTCTCAGAGTATCGGAGTAAAGGGAGCTACAATGCACACTCGCCAGATTTTTTTTGTAAAAAAGAAAAAGAAAGCGATGCATAATTTTCCATCGAGTTCTCAAAGGTGATGGAAAATTTGCTACTGATCACTGATTGTGATCAGAACACTTTAGCATGTCACTATAGATGCTCAAAGAACCGCGCACGCTCGACTGCCTTTCATCATCTGACTGACCCACTTCATTTTGAACTAAACTGGAGTTTTAATTAAGTTGAAATTGTCGCTTAATTCAGTGGTAAAGACAATTACTCAGCCTTGCCTGTGATTGCCCAACCATATAATGCTTCCTTCTCATTTTCCAGTGTGACTCTTGCAGCTTAGTCAGGACTTGGGAGAAATCTCTATTACACACAGAGATTTATTTATTTTTTTGAAAAACATTGACCGTAGAGTCAAATTTCAACTGGCTAATTGAAAACGAGAGAGAAGTCGAGACTTTTCTTAAGGTCTTTATCACAAAATAATAATGTTCATATATAAAACGGTGCCTTGCAAAATGATTCATTTTGATTGAATGTTTTCAGTTTGTCACATTACAACCAAAAATAGAAATATATTTGATTGTAATTTGTATGTATGTGTACATAACGCACATGTCCATCCCAGTCTCAAATCTTTTGCAGTTTCTAGCTGTTTAATTGATTACATGCAAGTATTAGGTCAAGAATTTATCCAGCAATATTTTCAGCTGATGTTTCTCATTCAACGTCATTATTCTCTGTGTCAATCCCAAAATGTGTTAGTGGGTGGCTTTTAGAGAAATGACTTGTTTGTAGAAGAAGTTATGAAAGTATGCATACTAAAATCATTTGTGTGTCCTCCAGTGTAATTGTAGCCAGTTCCCAGTTTACATTAGAAAATTGTTATGGTTGGTTACAATAAGCATCATAGGTAAGACAATGGTGGAAGAAAGTGCACATCATGTAGAGGCTGAGTAGTAAATATTTTCTGATTATAAATAAATGCTGGTTTAACATTTTTAATCAGAGTAAGCGTTCACTGTTTAGATCTGAATGGATTACCAAAGTTGGCTATATTTGCTAAATGTTTGAATAATATACCAGTGTTTTGAAGATGAAATCTGCAAAAATGTGTTTCTATTCAGATGTGGCATACATTTGATTAGATTTCAGCAGAGTAGCTGCTTCATAATAACACCAAATACTTCTTATTCCTAGACTCAGTACTTAAATTTCAAAATATTAGGAAGCAACAAAATTTGATCTGAAACCTAAAAAGTGTAGGTTCATTTAATGTTGAATAGCTGTGTATCATACACTGCAACTATTGAAACTTTTCTTGTGAGTACTGTGAGCAAAGCGCTGCAGTTTGCTCTTCAAAAGACCCAACAAATGAATATCTGAAAAGTAAATATTTGGTTTCCAGCTGTCACCGCTTTCCGGCCCAATCAGGTCACCAAGTATATAAACCTTTCTGATTAAAGTGGTCTTTGTTTTGGGTAAATAGTTACCTCTCTATGTTTTTTCCTTTTTGTTCTTTTTAAGCATTTAACTGCAGTACTGAGTTATTTTCTTTTTCAACAGTAGTTTGCTCCAGTCTGCAGCATGTTGGTGCAACCAGTAAGATCTGCTGCACATCTGAGAATTGGTGCACATTGGGTTGGATGCTGAGTGAAGCATCCAGGATTTCTTCTTCCAGGATGAGAAGAAAATATTTCTGAACACAAAAACCCCTCACATCCACTGATGCCGTCTTTTCACAACCACAAATCTTACCTCATTTTGTACATAGTTTCCCAGCAAACAGTCTGACCATAAACAGGTTTCTCATGCCGCTTATCTATTAGACAATCAATTATAAATGTCATACATAATTTTTTTTCCACATGCACACCTAGAGGAAGTGCTGTATTGTTTAAACAAATGGTCCCAATATTTATTATTGTTCAGATTCCTGCTAATAATCTGAGAGAGAATGCTCATTTTATGCAGAAGAGCACATGCCTCCGAAGAATTGCGGTATAGGATCAAAAGTGGGCATAAAGTGTTGTTTGTGGATTTAAAGATGTGTCGGTGAGAACTTTTGCGATCGGATCTAAAATGTTGTGGCCATACTTCTTAAAGGGAAGTAATAAAAATCTCAAATGGTCTCTTTTTTTTGTAATTCAGTCATTTGAGAATATTTCCCACAGTGATGAGGTCTAAAGTGGTGCTGTGAGTTACAAAGAAGAGGACACAATGCTTTTAAAATAAAAGAACCACTGTAAAGATTGGTGTTTCTTTTTAAAATTATTATTATTTATTTTTTAAATCTGTTGTAACCGTTTGTGTTTGCTTTGTGTGTGGCTCTGTGCGAGTGTGGATCTGTCCTCACCGTCAGCCAATGCCAGAGAGCAACCTGGGTCTTCTTCCTGATTTGGTAAAAGAGGAAATATGAGTCAAATTGACACAGTTGGTTCTAATAAGATGTGACCAGCTTCACAGGACAAAAAACAGACTGACATACCAACGGAAAACATCAATACGATCGGTCTAATTTGTTTCTAAGGCATATTGAAAAAAACTAATTTGCATATCTTTTTGTAGGCCTCTTCCAGGGCCATAAGTGCATAAAGGGCCTGCAAACAGCTTCTGCAAATATTAGTGAGAGAATGGGTCACTTTCAGGAGACTGATGTCATCTATGCAATAGGTTGAGTCTGTGTGATGTCTGCCATCGTGTCAAATGTAAAGTTTGTTTAAGCGAATATTATATATAATAAGACGTTTTGGACAATCTCATAATCCCGACTCTTTGGGAACAGTTAGAGATTGTCTCTTTATGTGGCACAGCACAAAGTTATTCCTTAAAGTCGTGGTGAGGAAGAAGTTGACTGGCCTTCACAAAGTTCAGACTTTATCTCTATATAACAATTTCTGGATTAGTTAGAGTGGAAACTGGAAGCAAAAACTTTTTCATCCAACAGTAGAGCCTGAGCTCACAGATGGGCTTACGGAAGAATGGTCAAATATTCCCATAAACACGGTCATGGAAATGGCACAAATGCAAACGTGTCGTAGAAAACCTGTACAGGAGAGTGAGGCTTGTAAAGCTGTGAACTGTGGCCCATTATAACATTAAACACCACAGATCCAAAATGGGATGTCATACAGTTGATAAACAAATGAATGCAGATAATAACAGGTTATTCACTACGCTATAGTAGTAACATATCCACTGCATAACGCTACGGTGGATGATTCTAACTTCCTCGTATATCTCTGTGATATTTGAGTTAGATTCTCCCATCATGATGATACAAGTTTAAACTGCCTCAAATAAACTACTGTAAATAAGTTTCCACATATATTTGATCATATTTTAAAATCAAAATGTAAAAATTCAAATGGGTGATATACTTTGAGACATGGTGAAAGTTATGCAAGCATCATGTGGTTTGATCATTTGTACGAAATGCTCCATGCTTGTCCTGGTGTCTTAGTCCCAAGAGATTTTAGGTTGGAGCAGGAGATTGAATACAGACGGGAGCTTTACTGGTGGTGGGAAGTAAAAAACCTAAGCCAAGACGGAAAGGCTCTCGTATTTTGTTTTTTTTTGTCTTTCACCTATGATCACGAGACGTGGATCATGAGTGAAAGAACAAGGCTGTAAGCGGCTGAAATGAGCATTAGAGACAGCATGAGGAGTATCGGAGTAGAGCTGCTGTTCCTCAAATTAAAAGGAGTCAGTCCAGATGGTTTGGTCATCTGATCGGGATGCTTCCCGGCCGTCTTCCTTGGAGGTTTTTCCGAGACGTCCTGCTGTACAGGAGGCCACGGCAAACACTCACCGCCTTGCTGGAGAGACCAACACTTCCCACTCTAGCCTGCGAATGTCTTGAGATCAGAAAACGTTCTGCCTTCTGCATTCCTCAAAGAGATCAATTAAGATGAATGTGGTAGAGTTTGGGTGTTGGTAAATTGTCCCAGTTGTCAAAAATATACACTTATATGTTAAACGTTGGCATTTTTGATTTTCAAAAGATTTGCAATGCTTTGCCAATGACATGACGTTATAATAATCTTATTGGGAGGCTATTACAAAATATTCTTATTAAATTGGACATTTTAACTTTAGTCTCTGTTGCTGGAAAATAAGTAATTAGGAAGCTAGTTTTCTTTTAGTAAGTTGGTAAATTGCTGCTCATGCCCACTTTAAGCGATTACATAAAGGTCTGCCTCCTCAGAAGACACACGTGAAGTGAGTTATTTCAGAACTGTGTTACTACACATGAACGACAAGATGGCAATCTGCCAGCGATATTGAGGGGAGCAAAAGCGTGATGATGGGTACGCAGCGATTGTCATTTCCCTCACAGGTAACCTGGACCGGGCTAGAGGACAGCCGCTACATTTCATTTCTTTGTGTTTCTCCCTGCAGACAGGGACTTCTCCAGTCTATGTGAGAAGCAGACCATCGGTCGGCTGCTGTTCCGTCAGTACTGTGACACCCGGCCAGAGCTGAAGCGCTGCATCGACTTCATGGACGACGTGGTAAGAGCAGCGTTTGGCAGCATGTAGTTATGTTTACTTAGTTGCATTTACTTTAGTAACATCTTGGGGAAAACAAACTTTTAGGAGTATTTTTACTACATTGTTCTTTTTTTACTTTTTAATATGGCGTTTGGATACTCTTTAATGAAATTTATGGATACTCTCCGCACTTTGAGCAGCTTTAACAATCACCCTTCGCAGTCTTTGACGACCCCACAGCTGTCTTTTCTCCATGACTCAGATGCTCTCTTGCTTGTCGTGTTTTTCCTCATATCATCCATCTGTCAGCTGGGTCTCGGCCTACATCAGGCTGCGCAGAACGAGAAATGGGAGTGGTAAACCGGCGCTTCGCCTGCATGGGTGGGTGGGTGATTTGTGACTTTGGTTGTTAAAGAGCAGACCCCTCCTCTTCCTCTCTGCACTCCTCCATGAGGTCAGTCCCACGTCAGAGGCAGTTCCCCTGGGTGAGCAAGCAAACACAGGCCCGAGCTTGTGTCAAGGCCCCTGGTGGTATGCAAGAAAGGAAACACAGGGGGTGAGGGGGGCCGAGCCTCTTTAATGAGGACCTATGTTAGGGGTTTTCAGGGTATGCAGGCACACTGCAAAAACACAAAAATGTCACTCAGTGTATTTGGTCTTGTTCTGAGCGCAAATATTGTAAAATTAGACAAAACTAACTAGTAACTTTTCAGCAAGAAATGGTATATGAAATGAAAAAGTACTAGTGCCAGATTTTTTCCACTTATAAGAAAAATGTCTTGTTCCATTGGCAGACTAGTACTTTTCATTAATATTAAGGAATTACTTAATATTTTCTCCAAGCTCTTATGTGATGCTGATCAATTTGTTTCTTATTTCAAGTGTAATAGTATAGTTACACTAGAAACCAGACCAAAAACACTTGGTAAGTCTTTTCATTGCAGTCACTAAAAATGCACCTATTTACATTCATAGATTTAAATTTAAAACGATTGAATAAATCTCTAGGGTTATATGTGTTCTGCCATTTCCCCTCCAGAGAGTCACGTTGTTGCCGTGATGCATACTTGCAGCGCTCGGTCCTCTTCCTCTCTGCAGAGCTTGTTTTCAAACGAAGGTGGTCAAACTCCAGACCATTTCCCCACGTACATCCATGTTTGATGGAGGCACAGTCTGTGATCCTGTTGGCCAATGATTGTAACGAATGAAGCGTGAAAATAGACAAAGTTGCTGTTTTGCAGAGTTCTCTCACTACTTTCTCCTTTTGTGTTTTCTTAACCCGCTATTTTTTCTGGATTCAGGGCCTTCCATTCTGCCCGTCTCTCTCTCCCCTTATTTGGAGAAGTATCAAAGATGGCTGAACGAGTGTGGCTTAGCCTGGTGTCGCTGCTCACGTGTCTGTTTCTCCTCCGACAGGCCATGTACCAGCTAGCTCCCGACGAGAAGAGGAGGGACTGTGGACTGAATGTATTAGACACATACTTTAATAACGGGGTAAGACGCACGAGCGTGTTTACTCTGATTCAGAACCACTTGATGCATTTTGATATCTTGAACTTCCAGTGAGGCATTGCAAGAGTCAGTGTTAAGTAATCTACAGCTGAAAATGCAGGCTTTCCCTTATGGCTTCACATCGTATAGATGCAAGACATTTTTTTTTCACCATTTGTAATTATCAGCAGATGATGAAATTACCGTGCTGTGAGAAACACAACTTTGTGTTCTTGCAATTATCATTGCAGTGATGTCCATCAAAACTAAGCTTCCCAGTAATGTGTTTGATCACTCTGATGGATTTCACTGTCCATTATGACTACAAATCACTTAGCAACAGTGCTAGTCCACAGAGGTCCACAGGCAACTTGTATTTTATTTTAAACATAACTGAAAACTTTGATCATTTGAGAGTGGAAATATTTTTTTATTCATAAATGTGTAAAAATCCCATCAATACATTACTGATACAAAATAATTTAAAACCAACTGTATTTTTGAGTGAATCCTTTTTTCCCCCTCTCATCTTGTGTTTCTTTATCTCCTTCCAGTCGGCGGCCCATCTACCCGACATTCCCCAGGATGTTATCGCTCGGTGCCGGGAAAGGCTGGAGCAGAGTCCATGCAAGGAGCTCTTCAACGACTGCACCAAGTAAGTCTTGAAACTCAATCCTCCTCCTCCAGCTGCAATCGGACTCGAGCGCAGCAACAAAACTTTTATAAATTGCTCACGACTTACCTCTGCCATAGATTGTCGCCGTCAGCGTACGGAGCCAGCAGCTCCATTGGGAACGGTCTGTGTTCTTGTGGCACCGTCTCGCCTTTGGTAATGGCGGGACAGCTGACACCTGGGGTTATGTAACGCTCGTAAACACGCACACGCAGCGCCGGGCAGAGAAAGCATCCGGACGGCTGGCATGGAAACAACAGCCACCTCAGTCTTCCTCGTACGCGCAGGTTGACAAACACGCACGCCAGTGCAGGTGTTTGTGCTTCCTCCGCTGAGAGCCAGAGGAAGCAAACAGACTGGCTCTGTTTTTTACTGCGCACACACGCACGCAGATACACGCACACTGTTTCTAGCATACTGCTGACCAACTTTGATTTACCTCAATAAATGATGCCGGAAAAACCAAAACCTTCATGGTTCGTTGTACCATGTGCGTGGTAGTGATAAATGACATCAAGGTCATCAGTAATTCATATGTCGTTTGCTATATTTGTTGTCTGATAAATGCAGTTAAAGCTGAAAACTGGGAGCAGTTAAGTTACAGGTGATGTACATTCCTGGTTTGAATAAATTAGCAGAAATTTGGCACGGAAACTGGTGGGCTTGGTATAATCATATAACCTTTGAAAAAAAATTTCCTTTTTCACCACCTGGCGTGTTATTTTACAAACTATTGTCATGTGCCTAAAATATTTTCCAGAATAACAATATTTAGGATTAGAGCTGCACATTTCATTGGGATTTTGTGTGATAGTCCAATCTGAGGTAGCAAATAATTATGTTTTAAGGAAATCTGAAGTCTTTGAGCCTTTATCAGTCAGTCTTTACAAATGGAGCACTTTTCTTAAACACTTTTCTATCTGATATTGCACATCAGATAGAAAAGAGGAGACAGTGCAAAGACAACAAAAAAGAATCGTGGCTAAGTCAGCAAAACAGGCCGCCCAGGTTTTCTTCCAGGACTGCCCTATATTTGGTGCCATCCAGCTCCATATCCCTGCTGAAGAAAAACATCCCTTAAGCATGATGCAGCCACCACCACAGTGGTCATTTTTACTCCCCGATAGCTTTTAGTGACCTTGACCGTAAAGTCAGGAATTTCTTCTAAACTCTGTTCCATAAAGGAAAAATATTTTTCTGAATTCTTTCAGGCGATGGATTGAACGTGAATTGGACTTTTTGTATGAAATTTTTTGGTATTGTGGCAATATTGTAAAAACATTTTTAGTTGTGAATATAACACATCATGCTTAAAAAATGACTAAAAAATGTTGCTGGACGATAAATTGCTCCAGTCGTCATAGAAATGCAAGAGCACATTCTCAAGGATCAATAAACTTTAAATTATGATGAACATTTAACACTGGAACAGGAAGAGATTTTAAATATCCAAATTAAATAAAACAAACAACAAAAACGACAGATAAATTATGATGTGTCTACAAACAATATTTTCCTTAAAAAAGTGGCCAGTTGACAGCAAAACACCAGACCGAAAAGGTTTAACATGCAGTTTTTGGCGGAAGGTGAAAAAGAAAAGAGAAAAAAAAACTGATAAATCAGGCGGATAGAAATTATTGAGCTTGTTTTAATTTATTAAGCTATAAATTAAGTTGAGTTATTGCTTATTGCGATAGGCCTAGCAATGTTGTATAATCAGGGCTGGTCTTTCTTCCATCCAGAATTGGTACAGGTCCAGTAAAGAAAAGAGAAACTAAAATCTCTGCCAAGTCCACACATCCTGGACACAAGCTGTTTAGAGTTTTACCTAACGTCAGTACAGCAGTTTATTTCTTGTTTGTTTGCATTTTTTGTCATGCTGTATAATAAATGGACAGTCGTGATCAGCTAATCTTGGTGAATAAGTCCTAATTTTACTCTTTCTGGTTGTCCACTGAAAGTTTCTAAGCTCTGGCTCCAAAGTCGATTGAAGCACTGCTGATGGATTTATCTTTCTGAATGTCTTCACGTCTGATTGGAAACGAGGCTTTTAAAAACCACGCAGGTTGATGAAAATCAGACGGGGCCGACTGGGATCCCACGCTGACCTCTTTCCGTACCATCCGGTGTTTCTGGTGACGATTTCACGACGGATGATCTGCTCCAATGTGTGTTTTCAAGCCCATTCAGCGTCTCAGTGGTTCAAGTGAGCGAGCGCTCATTAAAGCAGCTAAACTTGGACACCTCAAATATGTTGTTGATTTTTTTTTTCGCCAGCAGAATGTTTTAATTCTTCCAACCTGTTTCCTGGAAACGTGCTTTTATGTTTGTGTAAAGATTTAGTGGCTGTATTGTGACTCGAGAGACATTTTCATATTTAAGCCCACTTTGGTTGTCCACTTGTGAATGAATCACCTGGCAGGTACAAAAGTCTTGGCTCACCCTATGTTGCGTGCAAGTATACAGATTTTTTTGTGATCTTTCAAAGTGACTTAAGGAAAGTTTCTCAAAGATCTTCTTTTGTCCAGGACTGGACAGAAAATGGGTGGAAAAAGAAGCAAATGTTAAATTCTGAATACTCAGGATTGTGGAATAAAACCAATTTAAGAGAAAAGCAAAAAAAAGTTTGACTCATTAGAAGTGAAGTTTCTGCTTTTCTTAAAGCATGGTTTAAAACTTTTGCACAGTGGTACACATCAGGAATCAGTGTGGGGTTGACCAATGACTCACTTTAGATCCTCAGAAAAATGTTTTAAAAGGAATTCAGGAAATGCGAGGATCAGAGTTGGACAACCACAAGGTTTATTCTTACTGAATAAAATAACAACTCGAGTGGTTTGGACATGTCCAAAAGAGACGAGAAAAAAAGTTACATTGTTTAAAATTTTTTCCGATGCATATTTTGGCACTAACCCTAAAGAAGATAAAGTTCAACCAGCTGCATTCAGAAATCTCAGATGAAACTAAAACTAAGCTTTTTGCACATATCCCTGAATTCCCCACAGTGAAACATGGTGCTGTGATAATGACCTAGTCAAAGCCCACACCTGACTAGATCGACAGTCATTGCCAAGACTTACAATTGACTCTTTCCATCGAATTTATCTTGAGTTTATTATTCCCTATATATATTAATCTGGCAGAAACAACCCAGGTGAACCACAGCTGCAGCTAAGAGGCGTTTCCTCAGCAGACACACTTCCTCAGATTATCATAAACGTGTATACCTGAAACAACTGGAGAACATGCATTTGAACATAAGATTTCGTCAAGTTTAGTATTTGATCCATTTTTCATGATCTTTTTGCTTTTAGATTCCCTCCATGTTTTTAAATTAAGCCTCAGCTGCAGGAAACGCGACTTCTGGCAGAACATTTGCTCACTCCTGGATATTCCTTCCTGTGCTGCGGTCCAACATAGTGTTATGTCATAGGCTGAGCATAGTGTCACCCTTCAGTGCAGTCTTTCCTCATCCTCTTGTTTCTCTTCTCGCTCCGTTTGTGCCACATTGACCATGATCCAGCTCAGCTTGGACATGGCTTGGCTCTTTAAACTTTAAACCAGGAAGATTTGAGGAGGGAACGATATTAATCAATGTGATTGTGTCCCTGGAATCCTGTCGACAGCTTGTTTGTGTATTACTCTCATATACAGAGAATCTGTGTCGCACAGAGACATAGCGTATATTTCGTTCTGCCTCAGCGGGGGGCTTTCCTTGTGGAAACTCTGAAGGGTTTTGGCAAAAGCAGCGAGCGGTGACCACAGGCAGCTTTACTTGCCTTGCTTAGTGTTAAAGTATTTTCAAATTATGGTTTGGGAAAAATTTTTGAACCCAACATCAGCATCACATCATCATTTTGGTTATAGAGGTCGGATATTTGCTCTGACTTCAGTTTCTGTCCGTGAGTAGTGAGCTAAAAAGAGCGTTTTTCTTGAACTCGCGGGTTTTGTGACGAGAGGAGTGTTAACGGCTTTCTGTACCTGCAGAAATTTGCTTGTTGTTGATGAGATGATAGCAGCTGATCAAACCACATTTGAAGAAAAGCTGAAGCTCTTTCAAGATTTTAGAAATATCATAATCTCAAGCAAAAACTTTAAAGAAACGTAAACACATAGTTTGGGCTGAATGATTATTAATTAATACATAATTTTGCAGAATAAACTGTATTTTGCCGCTCGCCGCCTCTGAGTGGGGAGTAATGTGTTGGTGGTTAAAGCTGCACAGCAGGAAGGTTCTAGATTAAAATCCCACTCAACATTTCTATGCCGAGACTTCATGTTCCCCAAAGCATACATGAGTTCTCGCCAGGTACTCCGGCTTCATCCTGCAGTGCCAAAACAAACGTGTGAGGTTAATTTTCTTCCTTACTTAGACATGTATGCTGGTCCGTCCTCCATGTTTGGTGTTGTAGCGGATTGTCCACTTGTCCAAGTAATTCTGTTTATTATAGTAAAAGCTTTTTGCATTAATTTAATTTATTTCTTACAAATCTTCTGTGTTTTACATCCAATGTTTGGATTGTATTAAGTAATGTGTCATAAATACCATTGCATAGTTTGATGGCACTGAAATATTTCCCATCTCGTGACACTTTTATTTGACTTTATTTCTATTTTACTTAACTTTAGTCTTCTTTAAGTTTAACTTATTTAGTTGAGATTACTTATTTATGTAGTTCAAATGATGGTGAGCCTGTCACAATAAGCAACGAATCATTTAAGGACATAATAAATTAAAATAAGCTTGATAATTCCCATTTGCATGGTTTTGTTTTTCTCATGTCTCTAAATCAAAGACTGGATGACAGATGGCTTCGCCCTGGAGCAATCAACTATCCCCATTTTTGAAGGGTGATTGTGTTTACAGAGACTTCAGAAAATGTGTGTTTTGTTTTAGTTTGGATGGTTAAAATGTTTCCCAGTTGCAGTGTTAAGTGATTGTTAGAAACTAAAGCTTATTGGTCGGAGGGAGGCTGTCTTGCAATATTATTCCATTACCATTATATTACTCGAGAATGATCTCAAAATAACAATATTATCGTTTATCGCAGTAACTTCTGAGACAATCGTCCAGTAAAATTTATTGTGACAGGCCTAGAAGAAGAGTTACATTTTTAAAGTGTGCTTTGTCATCCACAACCCAGATTTCTGCTCTAACCTGGCGCTGCCTTTATTCTGAAGCATTATCATGTTTTATCTTGAACTCTGAGGTCACTTTTACAGTCTTGTCTGGAAAGCAAAGCTTATTGCTTATATACAAAAGGAGTGTTACAGAGGTCAAAGACAGGGGCCGACATCTCAGATTGTAATTTTTCTGGCATTTTCTCCAGAGGCAGTGCTACTTTACTTTCTAAGTGTGAAATCCACAAAGCCTTTTTAATTTTCTTTTCTTTGAGGTCAGGTTTTTTGTTTGATGTGATCAAATAACACAACCCACTTCCCCATTGACACTTCATAGTTGCATTAGATTTACTGTTCTGTGTGAAACCATATCTCGACCCAATTCAAAGGCAGTTTGTATTTTTCACAGTGTTAAAACTCCATTGTTGTTGTTGTTGTTGTTTTTTATCTTTCCGCTGCAAGTTGCTGTGAACCGTAACTCAGCCAGCAATGCACAAAATTAGAGGGCTGCACAAACGTAAACACATGTTGGGGAGTAGATCGTGATTTAATGTTGCTCTGCCTGAATGCAGTCTAGTGAGAAGATTGTCTTATCAGAATAATCACAACCCCTCTTTCTGTTCTCTCTCCCTCCTCCAGAATAGTTCGCGATTATCTGAGTGGAGCTCCATTTTCCTCCTACCAGGAGTCCATGTACTTTTCTCGCTTCCTGCAGTGGAAATGGTTGGAAAGGTGGGTAGAGCCAGCAAACGCAAAGCATCTACTATGATCTTGTTTATGGAGAAAATTTAGACTATACTGCTTTCTCTTGGTCTTAGAAAATGGCTGATACCAGAACCTATTAGTCATATAAGTAGCAGCAGCAATGTTTGCTCTAATACATAAAGGTGGGGCTGCCAATCAGTCTGTCTCTGCGAGAGGTTAATAATTTATACTTTGCATAATGGTTGGAGGAAAAGAGCAGGATGGAAACAGCACTCATCAGAGTGGATTAATAATAAATTAGACCATTAATCTGTCTGCAACATCACATGGTGTGTCAGAGTGACATCAGCTGGTATATTAAGTCCTTTTTTTCCCCCTTTTACACTTTTCTCTCCTCTTTTTAACATCTTCTTCTTGTTTGTTTGTTTTGTGTTTTTATCCCTGCAGGCAACCTGTAACCAAAAATACCTTCAGACATTACAGAGTACTAGGAAAAGGTGGATTTGGCGAGGTAAGACCAGATTGATTGTTGTGTAATTGTGTTATATTTCATATTAAGTAGGAACGTTGTTTTGATTCACATGAGTCCATTTTGCTTGTTTTCTCAGGTTTGTGCCTGCCAAGTACGTGCCACCGGTAAGATGTACGCCTGTAAAAAGCTGGAAAAGAAACGGGTGAAGAAGAGAAAAGGTGAAGCAATGGCACTAAACGAAAAACGCATATTAGAAAAAGTTAACAGTAGTTTTGTAGTAAGTACGACTTTTTTTCTTATTCAACCTTCCCCTGAATTGTATGTGTGCATGCCTGGTGCTTGTGGCTGCAGGATCCTGCAAATATAGCAAATGACATGTTTGCAAATCCTTTAATCGTCACCTGCTAAAAGTTAGATGCAGGAGACCGGAGTTCTGCTTGTCTGGGTTTGAGGAGAGAGATTTACTACAATGAAATCACAAAAAAATTGTCTTGAATGATTTCAAGAAAATGTAGACATTTTGACCACTTATGTTGCTTGAATGCATTAAATCAAAGTCATATTCAGTATTTTATTTGGAGGATGCAAACATCTGAAATTTGCGTCTATTTGCAGCATGCCGTCAGCCTCAAATGTTTCAGTATTTCCTTGAAACTGACTGGACATTTATTCTTGTCAACAAATTGTCATGGTTTTATGTTATTGTCTGCAAGTCAGACTGTGTTGCAGGTAAACACACTTAAACCCAAATATATTCTCAGTGTCTGACATGAAGTGAGTCGGTTAGGATTAATAAAATTGTTTCTGTTTGCTAAATGCCACATTAATCACTGCATTCTTTAGATTTGTATTTGATTTTCATTTGTTCATCTGTTCAAGCAATTCCATGCAAGCACGAACAGCATGTCCTGCCATCATTCTGCCCAGCAGGGGCCCAGAGATAAAGCTGTCTTGGTTTGCATAAACCCCCATAAAAACATCCAGATATCTTGGACTAGATTTAGCCAGAATCTTCCCGACATCATGAAACGAGTCCTGTAGCGGTTTGGGCTGAAAGACCACTCAGCGAGGAAGAAGCCATTGCTCCTAAAACAACAAAGAAAGTCAGATTACAGTTTCCAAATGCACACAGGGACAAAGACCTTCAGATTTGGAGATATGTCCGGTGGTCTGATGAAACTTAAGTAGAGCCGTGGGACATTATTCTTCTTGATTGGCAGAATAATGGAGAGGCTTACAAACAAACAAATCATTCCAACTGTAAAGTACAGTGTTGGCAGCATCATGATGTGTGGACCGAACATTTCACTAAATCCATGGCCTCATAATGAAGGAATATTTCTCAGCTAGGAAGTTGAAGCTTAGGCATAAAGAAGACAATCATCATAAGCATACTACCAAATTATTAACAAAGCTTTAAGGACAACAGAACCAATGTTTTAGAGGGGCCATCACAAAGCCCTGACGTCAGGCGTTTAGAAAACTCTGGTCCGAGCTTAAGAAGTTTGTGTCTGTGAGAGAGACGGTAGACTGCAAACCTGAGTTCATAGATCTATCAAATAATTAAGGAATGTGTGCATTCTTCTAAATTTGAAATAATAAAACTTCTCTTTTCATTCTCTCTTTTAGTAGATGCAGACAATTTCAGTAGTCAGTAACTGACCTAAAAACAGAAAACGTATATTTTGATTAAATGTCAGACAGAAGAAGAGACGTGATGGTCCTCTTTTCGTACAATGTGTGCAAATATCTGGACTCACCTGCATACTTTCTGTGGGGAGAAAAATCAAATGAAGTTCAGTTTCTGAATTCTTCTCTTTTCTCTTGCTGTTCATAAGCTTTAGCAAACACACAAGTATCAGCCTTTTACTTGTTCTTTCCCAATAAAAAAAAAAAAAGAGCGATGCTGCATTTCCTGCAGAAGTGATGTTCACAATAGCCTAAACAATTGCTGGCTGTGGAAGTGTGTGTGTGTGGGTGGAAGTGTGTGTGTGCGTGCGTGTGGTTATTGAAATCATTGCTGTGGATTAAATAATGTGTTGAATTGCTCATATGGTCTTATGACTTGGAGTGCTAGATGGCCTTTTTCAGATTTGTTCTCGATAATGATCACGTATTATTTTGGTGTAAAGATTTGCACTTTACACCTTTATGTAGTGGATCAAAGATGGGAGCTTTGACATCTGCAACAGCTTCACTGCTAGACACAAAATCTTACCAAATATTTTTAGTCTAGTTTCTTGTGCAAATATCTTAGTTTTGTAGCTTTTCTGCAAGATGTAGCTCCACTGGCAGATTATGTCAACAAGTAGTTTTTCTTCAATATTAATGAATTATTGACTTAAAACAAGCTCCTACGTATTGCTGAAATGTTACTTGTAAATTAGTTTTGCCTTATTTAGAGTGCACTAAAATATTTGCACTACAAACTAGACCAAAAATACTGGATTTTGTGCTTTTACAATGTTGGAGTCCTTTTTTCACAAGAGTCCGACAAGAATTGCGATTGAAAAAGGATTTTGATACGGATTTAGACAGCTGTGGAAATAATTTTGACCGTCCCCTGTGGGAACACGTACAGACTGTCGCAGAGCGATGGTACTGATGTTTCGCTCGGTAGCGCTGTGCCTCGAAGCCTCTTCCTTCTCTCCACTTGTAGCCAATGGCTGTGTCGAGGTTGTGCAGAGTGTTGGATTAGTCGATTTCTGATGCAGCGTGAGTTATGTTGTGTGCCCTTGATTTGAGTGAGTCATGACAGAGGCATGCACACACACACACACACACGCACCCCCCCCCCCCCCCCCCACACACACACAGAAACTGGAGAGGGTATGTTGCCAAACCTCAGACTTGCAGCTCCAGTCACCTGGGATTGGCACATGCTTTTTTTTATTATTATTATTATTATTATTATTACGTGTGTGTGTATGTGTGTGTGTCCGTTCTGGGTGCTGCAGGCAGAACTGATGACTCTTGATGTGCCTCTCTACCTACAAGAGCAGTACAGTTGCCTGGAAACGCTGACCAAACTGCAGCAGCGAGGAGAAGAGTCAAGTGCTCTCTCCAAGTCCTCGTTCCTCTCGCTCAGTATTGTTCTTTACCTTTTTGTGATTGGTGCATACTATTAGTCAGTGCATACCATTAGCCTGCTGCATGTTTCACACAATGAGCCGCCCGTGTGCTCTCAGTGTGGGAGGATACATGGGAATTTGAGCCACAGGGGTGATTCTGCTCTGGTGTCTGTAGCAGGGGAAGTGAGGTAGCGCTACTGCACTGTGGTGCAGTTTGTTTCCCATCTTTTTGACTTGAGCTTTACTCTAATATCCCTGTCAGTGTTGATGCAAGCACAAAATACACAGCAGTATAAAGCAGAAGTAAGAGTTTTTCTTAGATTTAATCGGTAAAAATATTTTTTATGCTTGTGGATTTCAAAGGTGCTTCAATAAATAATGCAAATACAGATTTTTTTTAAAATATGTAATTAGATTTTTATTTTTTTTTAAATTTAAAACAGTTTTACTTTCAGGCTGCAAGGTAGAATATATGATAGCATTTTTGCCTTGTGTTTGAACCCCTGCAAGGACAATGTAGATAATGAATGGATCAATTTTGTTTATATTGTCGAGCTTTAATTCTTCATTTTTTTTGTTCAAATCCTTATCAGAATTCTTTAGTCAAAATTGGAAAATGTGAATGAAATAAAAACAACAATTGGCAGTGAAAAATCAAAATCAGATGAGAATGTCTCAGTTTTTTGGGGCATTTAATGCCTTTGCAGTGGAGTTACACTACATCCTTGAAAAGTTAAATTAAGTTATGGTGTCCAGTTTTGATAAATTGTAGTTTTTGTGAGTTTCCTTTTTCAAATGGGTACGCTTCTCAAAAGTAGTATTTGTGTTTGTGAATGCTGAGCCATGTAGTCACAGCTGTACAGTTGCCTAAAAGAGAAGTGATAGTTAATTTTTTATCTTTATTTTTATTGTTGTCACAATTGTACCATGAAATATCACAATAAAGTTCTATATGCTGGTTGTTTGTTGCTCACTTGGCCCATAGGAACATTTTCCTTCCCTCCTTGTATTTTCTCTCTCTACATGCTCCATAGCAGATGGGATCCCTGCTGATGGCAGCAACATTTTACACAACTGCACATGCACACACTGTACCCTGTGTGTCACTGACCCACAGTAGGGAAGTGAGGAGAAGGGGGGGGGAGGCTTGTGGGAGAGAAGGAAAAAGGAGAGTGATTGATGATGGAACGAGAGCAGCAAGATGGATCTTCCCTCTTTGGGATACATCTTTAGGTTTCACCTTGTGTATATTCCTGACAATCCATTTAGGATAATTGATGAATATTTGGGGAGCATTATACAATTCTGATATGAGAGTTGTGCCCCATCTACTCATTATCCAACTCCTCCCATCCGGTCTCTGATCCAGGTTCTCTACCGCTTCTGTAAATTTCTCTTTCTTTTTCTTCCCCCCTCCTCCAGGTTAGTCTAGCTTATGCCTATGAGACCAAGGACGCGCTGTGCCTGGTCTTGACCTTAATGAATGGTGGTGACTTAAAGTTCCACATCTACAACATGGGAAACTCTGGCTTTGACGAGCAAAGGGCCCTTTTCTACGCTGCTGAGATCTGCTGTGGCCTTGAGGATCTGCACCGCGAGAGGATAGTCTACAGGTGACGCTTTACTTCCTGGAGGTTTTCTGGGATATTCTGAGGATGCAATCTGTTGTTTCAGAGAAAATGTTTCTGAAGGACAATTTGATTTACGTATAGATTCTTAGAAGGCATAAAGCATCTGTCAAGATCAGTGAGAAATGGGAACATAAACACAGGTGCTCATAGAAGAGAAAGACGCTGCTAAATCTCCAGACCTCAAGCAGCTATAACCGCAGAAACATGTTCATTGATCTCTGCGTGTGTCAGAGGAAACAGCTGGCTCTGAGGTTTCAGTACGCAAAGCTTTAGTTCAGGCTTGAGTCACTGAACTAAATCAATGAAGTCAGTTTCAGATCTCTGGTTTGACCAGGTTTTGAAATTGAATTATTTTCTGCTCAGCCCAGTCTGGGTGAAAATTGTTGTGATTTATTTGTGTTTTTCTAAGGATCTCACTATTATATGTTGGGCTGGATTATAAACAAAGTCTTATTTATTTTGTTTTTTTAAATATTGGCATATTGGATTGAAAGAAGGTTTAAAGAAAACTGTGAGAATATTTCTAGTTAAAATAAAATAAATATAATTTCAGAAAAAAGTTGAGACATCACCTTGCACAGCTCTGCATTAAATGTCAAATTTCCCAACATCTTAATTTGCTCCTCTGGTAAAGATCAAAACTGCATATGAGAGCATTTATTCTTCACTTATGCTGTTACACTCTTACTCTTCTAAAATATTGTTTTTCAGACCAGCTGTAATTTCAGAAGCAGCTCATAACTTGTTGTTTGTTGCAGAGATTTGAAGCCTGAAAACATCCTTCTGGATGACCGTGGTATGTCGCCTTTTTTAGTTTTCACTGCATCGATTTTTGGCTCAAAATGTGCTTCTCGTCCTTCATTTTTCATTTCAGAAATTTGGTCTACAATGTCCAAATCAAACAAGCTGCACTGTATCTGGCTGTTTTCATTGGCTGCAGAGGCACTGTTTTAAGTTTGCCTAACTCTCCTTACATTCCTTCTTGCATTAACATTCATTTGCTCACATCCATCTTGAAGTAAAAGAATACCCACCTTTCTTTCCCTGGAGTTAGCTCATGCTTCAGTGTAACTCAAGCACATCTCCAGCTGTGTGTATTTCTGCAGATGTTATTTACAGGTGTCTGTTTCTGTTAAATTACTGGTTTCCAGAAATTTTCTGGTAAACAATCTGTCTGTTGGTTTTGCTCAGGGCACATTCGGATCTCCGACTTGGGTCTCGCTGTTCAGATCCCTGAAGGCGAGACGATACGAGGGAGAGTGGGCACAGTTGGATACATGGGTAAGAACTTCAACATTTTGGTGCACCGGCTCCTTTCTTCCCATTTCGACTCCTTAACTTGTAACTTGTAAAGATTAAAAAGATGTAGTCTCAGTTCTCTGTCGAACCGCTTTGCGTCACAGTCCACCCGCTGCTTCTCGTCCACTCCGCAGCTCCTGAGGTGATCCAGAACGAAAGCTACACCTTCAGCCCGGACTGGTGGGGTCTGGGCTGTCTGATCTTCGAGATGATCCAGGGCCAGTCGCCCTTCCGGAAACGCAAGGAGCGAGTAAAGCGGGAGGAGGTGGACAGACGGGTGCGCGAGGACCCGGAGGAGTACTCTGATAAGTTCTCAGAGGATGCGAAGGACATCTGCAGGCAGGTGAGGAGGAAGAGACTGAAGGGACAAATGTCTCTCTGTTAGATTAGGACAACGGTAAAGAACCTTTATAACCCATAGAAACTTTATAGCCTTAGCTAATAATAAATAGCTTTTTCTTGAACTGCAAAATGTGCATCTTCTTTATAAGACTTTAACACAGACCGCTACGGAAGGCCTTTCCTGCCCACATCCATCACCATCCAGAGTAACTCTGAAGAATCTTGAGTTAATGAGTTACAGCAACATTCAATTTCCCTTTGGAATCAATAAAGTATTTTTCAATTGAATTGAATGAAGCTAAGAAGGAAGGTAACTTATGTTTTCTAAATCCTTTGTGGAAAAAAATAAAATTGTGTTTTCTGTTTAGGATTTAGAGCAAAGAAAAGCACATTTTCATCAGGAAAGATGAAAGAATTTCTGTGTCCATCGAAGAGGAAAATAACTAAAGCAAATCATTCTGAACAAAAACTGATTCCTTGTGCCACTACTGTCACTGTGTTGTGGAGGTGTTATGCAGATATTTAATTGCAATGAAGATGAATTTTCTAAAGTATTTGTTAATTCTATTTTATATAAAAATATTGTTCATTGAGATATCATCTGGACTATGATAGAGATGCACAGGCTGCTGCAGCCTCTCTGAACGCAGCACAGGTAGACAGAAATCAAGAAAATTTATATAAACTACACATTCTCATTTATAACAGTACGGACCATTTGTAATTATTAAAAAATAATTATTTAGTGTAACCAACTGTTACCTACTGTCACTATTTCCCTTCACAAATTTGAAGAGCGAGCCACTGAGTGTGCGTGTTTCTGAGGGCAGGAGCACTGGGACATTTTTTTTTTTTTAAACTTAGTGGAATATTTTGACCCAGAGTTCAGCATTTTTAAAAGTCTCCCCAGTGAGAAGAGGAGTCAGGGGCGAAGGGTCTCTGGGTAGAAGGTAAATATGGAAGAGGAGAGAGCGCAGCGGGACGGGGAGGGGCGTCGGTCTCTGGGACGCCAGAGGGACGGCGACTTCTCCCGCCAGAAATAGATGAGTGAGCTGAGTAGATGACAAGATTTAAAATCTGCTAGGAAACTTCGTGTTGTTCACGCAAAAGATATAAAAAGAAATGCAAGCTGGGTTTTATTATGGTACCATTAACTACACTCTCTCTTGCTGCATTAGCACTTTGCAGTTTTGAATATTTATCTCTCATAAAGGTCTTTGAGAAAACATTACATTTCTCGAACCGTTTCTTTGTTGCCCTCCTTTATAACAGGAAACCTACTAGCCGTCGTCTCGTTTGCCTGCCTCTCTTCAGTCGGACCTTTTGAAGGCTCAGATGTTTAAATGTGTTTTTCCTTCCTCCTGCTGGGTTTCAGCTCCTGGCCAAGGACCCCAAGGAGAGGCTCGGTTGTCGGGGTTGCGGGGCCACCGAGGTCAAGCAGCACCCCATCTTCAGAAACATCAACTTCAAACGGCTGGAGGCCAACATGCTGGACCCTCCCTTCTTACCAGATGTAAGAGAAATGGACACACACACACACACACACACACACACACACACACACACACACACACACACACACACACACACACACCCATACACACAGCACACTGAGGCGCAGTCCGTCCAGATGCAGGAAATGCCATTGTCAGAAGGATATGAGTTTATCATGGCAGCCAGTGGCTGTGGTGGAACCAATTTGTAATTGTAGTTTAATTTCAGCTCTACAGCTCAGTTTATATGACATAAACTGGACCAGTAGGTGTTTTGGTTATGAAAGTTGGATAATTTGGGAGACTTTGTTGTTAGTCAAATCATAGTCATGCACATTGTCTTTGATTTGTTTTTGATGATCAAATGAACAAATGTGACGTGTCTTTGTTTGTAGCCTCTCTGAAGTGATACTTCGGAGAATCATTTTTTTAAGTATTGAGTCTTGCCACAGATGCTGAACTGTATTTAAGTCTGAACTTTGACTGGGCCATTCTGACATGTTTATGGTGTATGCCTACATATCACAGTTCTGGCTGTATGCAGGACTTAGAGCTGCAATGAATGATTATTCTGATAATTAGCTGCGTAATTGAATTTAAAAACTGGCAAATTCTGCTGATTTTTAACATTTAACCATTTAAGCTTATTTCATGCAATGTCTAATGAACGCTTGATCATTTGCAGCTAAAAAAAACAAAATAAATACTTTAATAAACTCTTTCTGCTTCACTTAACATCAATGTTGTAGAGCTGATTTGTTAATTATTGTTTCAATTTAAAATTGGATATGAAAAGGCGTTTGAGAACAAAATTTTACAGAATTTGAAACTAAAACTATGGCAGAGTAAGGGCTCTGGATAGAAAATATTTACAAAGGTTTTTCATCTAAAATGCTTAATGCTTACGTTGCACGGTTTGGCTTAATCACACCTTGGAGAGTGTTTATGAGCACATGGACTTTTTTGATTATTCAGATGACTATGTGGATAATCGATTGATCATGATTAATTCGATTAATTGTTAAACCTCCAGCCCGGTCAAATTTCACATCCTTACACGTGTTAGTCTCCCATGGATTTTAACAAACTGCAAAGAGCACTTCTTATTACTATCCTTCAACAATTTTTCTAATGTCTCAAGCTGCTGTAAGATTTAAAATACTTTTTCCAGATTTTGCATCACTTGTTTGTTGTGCCAGCTGTTTCCCCCCCAGGTGTCTTACGTCTTTTGCTTTGCTCCTCTCTGTCCCCCTCTCAGCCTCGAGCCGTGTACTGTAAAGACGTCCTGGACATTGAGCAGTTCTCCACTGTCAAAGGCGTGAACCTTGACCCCACGGATGACGACTTCTACTCAAAGTTTGTCACAGGCAGTGTCTCCATCCCGTGGCAGAACGAGGTACTGCAGCCTGAAATGACATCATCCTTGAAATCCCACAGCAATGACCTCACACAGGAATGTCTGATAGCTACCAAGTAGAACAAAAGTCTGTTGCCTTGTAGCAGAAGTACAGTATTTAAAAATATAATGTTGGATTTGTTGCGTTTGCTCGTAGATGATTGAGATGGAGTGCTTCAAAGAAATCAACATCTATGAGACCGACGGGATGCTGTGCTCAGACCTGGACGTGAACCGGCCCAACCCTCCGCCGAAGCGGGGCTTCTTCTACCGCCTGTTCAGAAGAGAGGCAAGTGCTAGCGCTCCGGCGACTGTCCGAGGGGGTGGGGGCTAAGGTACTTCCTGCTCTCCTGGCTTTCCTTTTTTGATGTCCATCCCACAGGCCTTGTCCAAACTCAGAAAGGATATCACTTCACATGAAGTCTAAAGATTTTATTAATGCACATTTGTGAGTTTGTTAGAATAAGGCCGGTCTCTCGTCTTTGTCCTTTTTCTGGGCTTGACCGATTCTCTGCTTTTTATGTCCTCTCTGGTATTCACTGTGAAACTGACATTTTCATCTAGGAAGTCAGAACAGGAAACATTGCTTTAGGAAAAATAAATTTCAGTGTCCATCAGTGATATGTGGTCATACTCCAGGAGCAGCTTTGCTTTTTGTCACATTTAAACTACAAACATTATGTTACTATTTTTTATAAAGTAAAGGAATACCTTTTGTCTTTATGTATTTATTTATTTTCATATAAAAGCCACCATTTATCCATCTTTTATGATTCACCTAAATATTGTATTGTATTTTCCCTTCACTCTGCAATTATTTACTACTTTTTGTTTTCACATTACATAAACTCTAAATGAAAACACTGGAGGTTTTGGTTGTGACTTAAAAGATGAAAAAGTTGATGGGATACAAAGAATTTTGCAAAACAAGCTTTTCCAAACCAGTGGATCATCTCCTACTACCTTCATTCTTATTTTACTTTGAAACATGTGCAATGTTTTCGTCTTTTACACAAATTGTCTTTAAAAAACTTTTTTCATTTAAATCTTTTCAGACTGTATTATTTTCCTTCTTAAACTTAAACTTTCTCATTCCATGTTTTTCTGAGCTTGTGAAAACATTTCTTCATTAAAAAAATGTCACATTTTCTTAAATACGTTTTCAAATTTAGTGATGAAACTTGTTAGTCAATTTGCATGCTTGTTTGTCTTTTTTTTTTTTTTTTACTGTTCCCAGGTCTGTCTGAAGAGCGGTTACAGTGACGACGAGACAGAAGAGCCCTCACGACTTTAAACCACTCCGTCCCTCCGCCCGCACCCCTCCGCCGCAGAGCTTCACCACAATCTCCAACCGAGCGCGAGAATCTTAGGAACTCAGTGAATGTCGACCTGTATTTATGAGCTGTATTAAAAGTGTATAATAGCTAAAGAAAAAAGTATGACTTTAAAGATTTTGTACATTTGTACTTGAATTTATGTCTAGATGTATATTTTCACTAAAGGTTGTATTGTACAAAAAGCCATAAAAGTACCACTTGAATGCATACATTACCTTATTTTCTTTTGATTTTGTTTATTATTATTATTATTTGGAATGAGTATGAGTCATGTTCATTAGGCGGTTTCTTTGAAGAAGCACATTTTAGTTTCATTAGTCTTTTTATTTTTCACGATGTAGCATCAGGCCTTTGTTTCCCCCATTTTTTTTTTAAGATGTGCCGTATGTTTGTCCTTTGTTAGCACATTAGCTCCACTTTGTACCAAACTAACTTTTAGTCGCTAAAGGCCTGAAGTCGCGGGCGGATCTCAAACCAGACCCAAGAGATACAGTTGGAACTTAATCCAGGTTTTCATCACTGTTAAAGCTGTGATGCTTGAACTTTTCCCAGGAGTGGAACAGCTGCAGCGGTGAGTCTTTTTAAAGCATGCGTACAATCCGCATGACCGGATAGGATGAACTAGACGTGTGTGTCCGGAGACCGGTTTGCAGTGCGTGTTCCAAGTCATTTTAAGATCACGTGTTTATTTTTGGGAATCTGTGCAGCTACCCAGTGTTAATAAAACAGAGCAAACGTTGAAATCCGCAATTAATGTTTGAATTTCAAAAAAATCTTTCCTAAGCTCCAGCAGGTTCAAATCGTAAGATTTGTGATGCCTAACAGCGTTTCCAAGAAGAATTCACTTGCTAGTTGCATATCTGTTACAATTTTTGCTCAAGCTGATTATTTTATGGTGATTTATGCTTTTTTTAAATTCAGTACTGCGCTTTCACATGTTGCTCTGTTGGTAGACTGAAGCAAAGTAGAAACATTTTTCTTGAAAGCTAAATAATTCGCTATCCTTGTTTTTGGAATACAAGAAAAAACTATTTGTTCTGCTGATTAGAGTTGCATTTAGAGCTCAAAGAATGATTTTGCATAAAAGTAACCTTGTCCAAATGCTCAAGAGAAAACATTAGGATAGCTTAAATGTGTGTTTTCTTCCGTGGTGTAGTGTGTGCTACCAAGTTATATTAATTATTGTTTTAATAGAAAAAAACAGTACCTGCCCATTCCAGGTGTTTTGGAAACGCTCTACAAGTGGGCCTTGACTCTCGGACCACTTTCTGGTTACTCCTTTGACTCCGCTGTCTGAAATCTTGTGCGGTGCGCCTGGTCATGACTAGTTTTTAGTAAAAACGTGTGGTTTCCACTACTGGGAAAAGAAGTTGATGTATCGAGTACTTATTGCGATCGGCAGGTTTAAAGATGATTTTTGTACATTTCTCTCTTACAGTTGAAGAAGTGTTTTTCCTTGTAAACCATCAAACGATTTTTTCCCCGCACTTTTCCTTTTATGTTCGTTTCTAGATTTTGCTGTAGAAGCAGGCGCCGTTTAGCCCCGCCCCCATCGCATTCTACACCCATTTTTAATGCTGTGAATACCCCCACTTCAGCATGATGGCTGCACATTTGTGTATATTACACCGTTCGATGACGCAGCTTTGCTCCACTTTGTGAATTAGACTTCACTAGCTCTACTTTTGTACAGTTCAGCAACTTTAAAGAGAAATTCAATTCACATGAAAGCGGTCTGTAATTATTCATTGCAATTTTTAGAAGTTGACATTTGAACTTGAACATCTCCCAGACACATTCAGACTTTGAGGCTGCATATGTTTGATGAGTTGTGCTTTGAGTTCCCAGTCTATTAAACCAATGTGTTATGAAATTTTTCTTTTGTCCAGAAATCAGATGTGAACATCTAGTAGTTTCTCGCTTATTTGATTCCTCAATTTGTCTTTGTTGTCCTTTCAAAAAGAAATCTATAATTTGCTTTGCTCTCAGGCAGACTTTGAAGCTGGTTCCATTAATGTAGATTTTAGCCTCAAAGCAAACTTGTAAATTCTGTATTTCTAACGTGTAACTAAAAATTTGAGGTGAAAACTTAACTGCGTCCGTCACCCATGCCCGTATCTTTGTTTGTAAGGTATTTCATATCAATCCACATAGCATTGAAGATGTTCTATCAGATCCATTGCACTGTATATTTTTTGACAATGACTTTGAGAAGTGTCTTTTAACTGTTCTGACAATGATACCAAAAGCAACCTTCTCCAGATTAAAACATTTTTCTTTTTTAGAAGAATTTACTCAAGAAAAAAAGAAACCCAACAGCCTTTATTAAATGTGCCAATTACCAATTTAGTTTCTAACATCCTGCCTTCATATTTTTTTTACCTCATTTACTTCCCATCCACTGAAATTTCTCCATATACATAAAGAAAAAAAAAACGTAAAAACTTAAATCAGCTCAACTGTTTTGAATGTCCGCACTAAGTGCATTGTAATGCCTGTTTAAGAAAAAAACAAAAAAAAAAAAACAAACAAAAAGACATGTTTTATTACTCAAGCATGTATCAATTTGTAATACTTCAGGATCCTTGTGTGTGTAAGTGATGACCTTCTTGTGCCAACATGTGTCGCTGGTTATCGGAGGACGACTTTGTGAATGGCCGGGAGTGACCAGCAGAGCTGGCCTGTTGGATAACAAATGTTCCTGGTTTGTTCCTGCCTTTCTGTCGGCGCGTTGACGGCGAGTCAAAACTGAGATGAGGCTCGCCAGCAAGCACCTACAAAGTGGAATATCACTTGAATTAGTTTATAGGTAATGCACCTGTACAAATTCAGATCTTCTGCAGTTTCATTTCTGTAGTAGGAAAAAAAAAATACAGCAAAAGGAGAATGAACAAATGGATTTTTGGTATTCAAACAGGGAGTTGATTTTTTTTTTTTTCTTTCCATGTTCAGTCTGTACAGTCATGTTATTCAACCACTGCGGTCATTGTTAATTCTTGTACAAGTTATATCACTGGTTGTTGTACCATATCTGACATTTGTAATTATGAAATAATACACTGCCATTTGTATTAAAAGAGGTGTCTTAACTTGTTTTTCTTCTGTTGATTTGTTTGTGAATGAAAGGCGGAGGTGAAGTGAAACTTTCTTTACAGTTTCTTGCTCACTGTAAATTAAAGTGAATTTGTTCCTGTCAGCTGAATTGTCTTTACAGTTTTCTTGATTTCCTCCCAGAGATAAACTTTTCAATATGTAAATCTAAATGTTGGAAAGGTTACTCCTTCACCTGACTATGGAGGTGTTGCGGAGAAACAAGACCACTGGATTCACCGTATGTCTTTTTTTACCAGTTGATCGAATACATCATGAAGCATGTTAATGTTATTAAACTCTCTTTATTCTGTATTTGTTCAGCCGAGGAGACCACACTGCCCCCTGCAGGAACATAAGACTAATGATTCATTAATTACAGCAGTGAGTGTGAGATTACTCTAAAAGGCAGAGGCTGTTGAATAGTGGTAAAGTTGGGCATTTGGTATAAAAATTAGCTGCATGATTCTGACGTCTGGATGGCAACAAAATCCTTCCAATACGATTCTTGGCATGTGTGGTATATGAACCAGCACACCCTAGTGAACTGCACCCGCTCTGTTGTCTGGTGGCTGCAGTTTCATTTTTGACAATAGTCTATTGGGGGTTCACTTACACCATTTAGGACAACACTTTTAAGAATGCCAGTCCAAGATGAAATAGCTGGGATTTTTAGTATTGAAATGAATTATGCGTTTGTATATCTTACCCTTTCTAAATGACGTAAAGGCTGTTCAGATGTCTTTGCTGAGGTCAGGGTCACCCTGGCAAGTTTTAGATTCATTTCACAGATGGAGCTTTCTGCGAACACTCACTGTGATGGCAGCGGAAAAATGAGTTGAATCTCATAAAGCTGGATTACAACCTAGTATTCCACAGCCACAAGCAATCCAAATGTACCTCATATTGTAAGAGGTCAAATATATAGTCATAATTATGCCAGAATAGTTGATGTCCACACACACACACACACACACACACACACACACACACACACACACACACACACACACACACACACACACACACACACACACACACACACACACACACACACACACACATCTGATTTATGTTAAGGGACATCTGCCTGTATAATTTTGGCATCAGGTGCTTTCGAAAATAAGAATCACAATAAACTTAACCTTGTGCACTTATTGTTAAAGTCCTTCAAAGTTGTTTTTAGAATAACTGGTCAAAGTGACAAGTGATAAACTTCTGATCACTGTGTGCATGAAGCACAACTACAGTCATTGTAAGCCTGTGAAACTTTTAGTAAGTTGACAGTTAAACTCAAGTTTATAGGCCAAGGTGTACGATTTAAACATCGAGGGGAAATGGATAAAAGGGCTGCACAAAAAGCCACTGTTGATCCGCGCCACAGGAGAAAGGAATGTCAATCTTATCTAAAACAGGCCTTATTATGCGCTAAACAATGATCTCAGGTATTTTGTTGAGCGCTGCTTTCCAAAAAGCGAGAAAAGAAGCTGCATGTGACTAACAGAAAAATCACAGTTGACAGTTTAATGTCCTATCGAGGGGTTTTGCGAGACAGCCTCCTGATTTCAACGGTCCCGTGACAGCAACAATAACATGAGGCCGAAAAACGCAGCAGTTCATTGGCTCTCTGACACATCAGCCAAAAGAAAGCCGCGCACTGATTGGCCACTGAGTTTTACGTCTCCCTCCCCGACGCAGCAACTTGTCACCACTTCCTGGTGTGACTGCTGGGGAGAACGCGTTTGCTGCATCAAAGATGGCATATTCTCAGCACATATTTGGTTCTGTCAGGGTCAACATTGTGGAAAAATAAGCGGGCAAGTGGACAGAAGCGAAAGCGGGGAGCGGGTGGTGGCGTTAACCCACCAACCTGCTGCTCTCTTAGCGCTAACTTGTCCCCTCTACCTTATTCTACGCTGCTAGCTGGTTAGCGCAAGTAATAAATATTAGCTTCCCGGGCGAGCTTTCTCGTAGTGGATTGCTAAAATGGCCACCATGGAGAAGCTGATGAAGGCCTTTGAGTCCCTGAAGACATTTCAACAACAGCAGGGACCACCGACAGCAGAGGAGCTCGTTCAGAGACAGTAAGTTTGGTTTTTAGACGCCACAAAATGACACCGCTGCGTTAGTTAGCCTAGCTCGCTAGCGATGCCAGTGCCTCCCCCTCTTCCTCCCTTGGAGAGTTTGTATATTACCACACAATCTGATCTTCTGTTTAATCTCATAAGGAATCTCAGGAATATTTCTTGATTATATTAGCGGGGGTATTTGTCATCATGGTTGCAGCAAGCTCATATGTGTTGTGACCAAGGCTTAAGCCGATTCACTGACGCTCACGCACCTTTGCGGGGTCAGAAAGACCAATTTAAAGCATCTTTGGTTGTGTTGCGAACTAGATTTGTCAGAAAGCTTTAGAATGATCTGTTCAAAGTGTCTAACACTCTTCTGACTACGACTGCAGACCAACGTAGCTTCATAAAAAGGGGGGCAGGTTCACTCACTGGAGTGATGTAATGGTACCATCCTGATGGTTAGCTGGGAGGATTGTGTTCTGGCTCTTTATGATGAATGATATTAGTTAATTGGACTTATAGTAGCACACCCACAACTATGGGTGCAAAGTCGTTCATTTTAGATTTTGATCTTAGTTTGTAGTCCTGTGGTGTGAAATTTAAGATTTGTATATCTAATCCCATTTTTGTGGTTCCTTTTCTAGCTGTGTATTACTGTGTGTATTAACACTTATTTTTTGCATAGTTTGTTTTCATAATCTGTTGGATTGCAAGCAAAGACGTGTTCAAAGAAATGAACAACTGTGCTGTTCTTCCGTCCGCTTCTTGTCTTTGACATTGTGAATTTGTGATGCTTTGACAGAAAAAAGGAGCAAGCCGCAACAAAAAAGGACAGAGTGACCCATTGCCTGACGATATGCGAAAACATTGTGGCTCAATCACTGAGGTAGGCCCTGACAAAAGGACCAAAATGTTTTCCCTGTAGTGGCCTTTCCCATCCACTCTCCAGTGGAGAAATCCTTCTACAATGTTTTTGTAGTTTTCAGATTAAAGATAGAAAGTCGATTCTTAGTGTAACATTGAACAAATCTTCCTAATTACGTTACTAATGGATCAGCAGAAGGAATGGAGGCAGCTTCTACTAACTTATGTCAGTCAGTCATTTATGAAAGTCTTCATGCTTAATAATTGCCTGACTGTGTTTTTTTGGGGGCCTGGAAACAGAACATCTCCGGAGTTTCAGAAACTGCTCGGGATCGCCATGGAGATGTTTCTTCTCTGCAGCGATGACAGTGAATCAGACGTCCGTATGGTGGCTGATGAGTGCCTGAACAAAATTATCAAAGTGAGTAGTATTTTGTAAATGTTGTCATGGTCCAAGTTTTGAAGCTGGATTTTGTTGTTGTGTACATGTTCTCTTTTAACTAGTTTCCACTTGGAGGAAATCTGACACCTAGCCAATTTCTTTTTTTCTTATTTAACATGAAAAGAGAGAAACTCATACTGAACTTGTATAAGAAAATATGGAAAAAGTATATAGTTGTACAAAAATTGGATAACCTGATCTATTTGCTTTTATTCAAAACAGAAAAGCAACAATTATGCCAACAGCTGCTAAAATATTACAGTGTTGTTTTTCCAGTTATGAACATTGTTTCTAAACTTGTATAATTCACATGTGACATTTAGTATTTAAGGAGGCATGTTCTTTGGAGCAATAAATCATGGTATTCTCTCTGGGAACAGAATAGAGTAGTAATAAAATAGTCCAGTCTGGAGAAAGACGTTTCCCTGATTGCAAGTGTGCAGTTTGTTTTATTGGGGTTGGGAGAACCTGATGTGACGGATAATTGTTCCTGTTTTGAACTTTTAGCTTTCCACATACATTTGTGAATAGCCATGCCTGTAAAAAAGTAGGACATCCAAAGATTTGTGGTCTTCTTGTTGAACTTTAGTTTTCAATCTTAAAATTGCTCGTAACTAAAAAAATAAAATAGCCATGGTAAATTCCATTTGTTCTAAAAATACAATTGTAATTGTGGAAGATATCTTTCTGTTGCTTACTAGACTCTTTTTATTCCACAGGCTCTGATGGATTCGAACTTGCCTAGACTGCAGTTGGAGCTCTACAAAGAAATTAAAAAGGTATTAATTAAGGCTCAGACTTGGTTATGTTTTGTTGTTTAGTTCATTTTAGTCACATAAGAATAATGTGAAAGTTCAGTGTTTTGTTTAATGTGGCTCTCATACCTCAACAGAACGGAGCCTCACGGAGTCTGAGGGCAGCTTTGTGGAGGTTTGCTGAGCTCGCCCACCTCATCCGACCCCAGAAATGCAGGTAGGCACTGTAATGCTTCCCCATGTTGATATTTATTTTGACACAGAAGTCTCAGTCAATCTATCTAAAATTAAGACCTTAAATTAATTTTAAAAAATAAAATAAATTGGCCTTAAATATGTTATTCACAGATCTTAAATTTTTTTTTGTGAAAAAAACTCTTGTCTCATGCTATGTACTTTTCTTTTTTTCTTGCAGTACTTTACAGTTAGGCAAAACGTCATCTGTACTGTGTTCTGTGACTCAAGGCGGTTGTGGCTACTGGTAGCTAGCTGCTAATATACCGTTGCTAACAAGAGTTAAGCCAGCTCGCTGTTTTTGATGAGTGCAAATTTATTATCTGTCGGCTGGACGGTGTTCGTCTTTGCCATCGACTCTGTTCTATTGCGAACCCATATGATTTATTTATTTACAATTTTCTTTTGCATCATTTTTGCTGTGACAGAGCTCTTACATTGCATTCATTGTTAAAAAAGATCTTAAATTTTAGTTTTAGAAACTAGCAAAATGCTAGCATTAGAAAAACAAATGATTAGGATATGCAGTTGTTAATTGCAGTGTCAATTATCAACAACTATAGAGTTTTATTGACCTGCATTTTTATCCTTCTCGCTTTTGTTTTACATTATTATTTTGCTCTTTTGAGGTG